ATATGCATGTAGTAAAAAGCGGTTATTTCAATATTACAAACAGACACTTCTATTTTATTTATCTGTATAGATAAGAATAATATGTTATACTATATGTTTATTTCCAGATGGATATGGGCAGAGGCTGGTGCACAGCTCGCTCTGGAAGAGTCTCTGGAACTCGGCGGCTTCGGCTACCCCGCTATGGCAGTGGTCAACGCTAAGAAACTCAAGTTCTCAACACTTAGGGGATCATTCTCCGAAACTGGTATCAATGAATTCCTTAGGTGAGTGAAAAATTATTTTGTTTTCTGACGGATCACCTGATGGTAAGCAATCGGCGTCGCCCATGGACACCTGGAACACCAGAGGCGTTACAAGTGCATTACCAGCCGGGGATTCAGGAATTGGGGCGATTGGGGAAGGGGAGGGTAATTGGGCCTCCCGTAACCTCACTCACACGACGAAACACAACACAAGCATTGTGTCACGTCGGTTTTCTGTGAGGCCGTGGTATCACTCCGGTCGAGCCGGCCCATTCGTGCCGAAGCATGGCTCTCCCTCACTTATTGATTTGGGAAATGTGCTCGTACAAGGCAAGTCTAGTAGTCCATTAGCGTCCCTGTAGAACCAATATGCTAATACGCTCTATTTCGTGTTTTGTATATTTTTTTGGAACAATACATTTTTATTTAATACTAGCTGACCCGGCAAACTTCGTACCGCCTAAAAGTTTTTTCTCACCTTTTAAACCTTCCCTAGACTTCCACGGACCTATTAAGACCAAAATTAGCCAAATCGGTTCAGCCGTTTTCGAGTTTTAGCGAGACTAACGAACAGAAATTCATTTTTATTTATATAGATTTTTAATTTCAAATTGACGTTAATCAGATGATACTGATAGAATTTGTACAAAAAGTATTTGTTGTCCAGACGCGTCAACCGTGCAAACAAAAACTTACTCATTTTAGTTTGATAATACTTATGCGGGCTACGAGGAAACATTGGACTGTTTTCCGTAATAAATTTCATTTCATGAAACTAAAGTATTTCCCCACAAGCATAGGTTACTTAGCCAGACTTATTATAGAATTGTTTTTACCTGTTTATTTACCTCTTGTATGTATGTAATTTAACCAAGATGAAAAATATAACTTTGAAATGGTATGAAATTGGGTATATCTACCAGACGACCATTACATACCATACCATACAACCATACGAATTATAGGAATAAAATCAAAATACATGCTCGACTTTTTGTTATCAGGAATTTTAAAGGCATTCTTGATTACAGGGACTTATCATTCGGTCGCGGCCAGACTGCACCAGTCAGAGGCGCTGAGATGCCCAAGATAGTGTCTACAGACGCTTGGGACGGCAAGGACGGTGAGCTGCCACAGGAAGAAGACATCGATCTATCAGACGTGGACCTTGAGAAGGACGAGTTATAAGTGCAAAGAGTGACTTAGATAAGCATAGCTAGGCAGAAATATCCTTCGTATTGAGATCAAGGTTCAATACATACTAAAAATCATCTGAATTACTTCTAGAAGGTTCCAAATCCTAGCTACGCTAAAAGATACTCGTACCTCATAAACTTTACCAGTGGTTGAGTGCATTTGAAATTATCTGCAGTGAGAACACACCAATTCATATCAAATCTCTGCTTTTTATAGAAAGATTGCAGGTTCGAGCATTTTATGAATAGTATTTTATTGAAGTGAGCCAGTGAAGTTTTAATATTAGATAAATTAACATGTCACATAGTTTGATACTATGCAATACTACAGGAAGTATTTATTCCATACAGTGCTGGATTAGGCATGAGTAAAAGTCTATCTACAGGTCCCTTCGATCTGACATATTTACTCAAAATATTAAGGCAGTGATTTTAGTTTTGCAGGGCTAGTAGAAATGGTCTTGCGACATGGTTAATCCGGCATTGATTCCATCATATATTGTTTACTTTATTTTCTGATATATTTAGCCTATCCGAAGATCACAAATTGTAACTAAATGTTATGTTTGGAGCTTGTAAAAGCTCAGCTCTAGCAAGTGATGGAATGACTGATGTTTCTGAATCATTTTACTTATTCATTTCATGATACAAAATATAAAGGACTGATACCTTTTTTAGTTAATGATTGGAATTAATTCTCCATCTGCCATTCTTCCAATAATTGGTTTAGCGTGGTAAGCTTTTATTATAATTGTTGTGAGGAGATATTTTGGATAATTTTATGAATTGTAAAATCGCTAATAAATTTTTAATATAATTAAGTATTTCGTTGTTTTATTCCTGTTCCAATGGACCCTGTAAATTCCATTGTGCATGATGTTGCACTATCATATGCTTGACGTCTGGGAAAATAACAAGGAAAATTAAATATATAAAATACATATGTATTAAATTTAAAATGTGGTTTACTTCTAACAATACATAAATACATAATATGATAAATACAACATGTATGTAACAATGTCTATTGTTAATAAAAATGGTCACTCACTCTAGTTCTCAGAAATATTCGCGTGCTGTCCTTCAAGTAGGAAAATAGTTAAACATTAAGAATGTTCACGTTTTAGTCACTCATTTAACCTTGTTTTTTATTAACATAATGACGTGAGTAATCTGGCAATGAGGTGTAAAGCACACTTCGGAACTCTATCACAAAAAAGTTAAACTGTGATAATATCAAGTCAACTAGGTACTTAGCGGCTCGAGTATGGTAATGTATGTCAATGGTTGCAAAGTGTGATACTATCATACGCCATTACAATATAAATTATAGTGCTTTGTTCTATACTTTGATTGTACTATCTATAATGATATAATGTACGATAGAACCTTCACACAATGCGTGTATTTAAATGGCACCCATAAACTATACTACTATAGGGCTGTTTTTCCATCGCCAGATAAATTTGAACCGAGAAATAACTTTGTACAGTTAAGAATTTACAGATAATTTATATTTTTATTTATATAATTTATATATAATTTGGATTTCTCGAAAATTCTCAGTAGGTAGTAGTTTAGAAATGTGTAATATTGTTAGGTATAACTGACGAAACAAGATTCACCAGTACTTTCATTCCCATAGCAGAAGAAAACAAAAAAAAAGCACTGCATCTGCCTTTATGGGTATTTGAAAGTACCCTAACAAGCACCTCGCTTTTTCAAGGTAGATGTCCCACCCCCACCCACATGCACGAAGTGCTTCGCATAAAGCTTCCTTGTACGTAATGCTAAGGAGTGGAATTCTTAGCCAGAGTCGGTATTTCCTGAAGGGTTATAAACTCGGAGTGTTCAAGGCCCGAGTTAATAGGTTGCTTATGGGACGACGTGCTCCATCGTAGACTGCATCATCGCTTACCAATACCAACAGGCGAAATAGTGGTCAAACGTCGACCCATGAAATATTAAAAAAGAGCAATTTGTGCAGACCCGTGTTCGACTTCGGATTCGGATTGAACAATGAACTGCAAGCAGAACATGGATTTGATATTTTTATAAGTGGGCCCACTTATAGAAGTCCACCCACTAAATCAAAGGCGAATCCATGGCATCCAAGGTGATCCCACCCCGGTGGAAAGTACCGTAGGTGCTCTCGTTTTCGAGATATTTTGGATTTTGATATAGATATATAAAAATCCAAATTACAACAACATAACATTATGTTCATATATTTTATTGATTTCTCTCCTGACAGGATTATATAATGCACCCTGTTAACAGTGCGCGACGCTCTTGACAAAATATTTCGAAAATTATTTCACAGAGACCTTTAGATTTGAGATCAAAATGATCTTAACAGCTAGAATTCTTAATAGTAGGATAGTGAAAATAATTTTATTCTTGCATAGTTGGATAATGCTTATCATTAATTTTGCACGAAACCGTGAGAATCTACGACATCCGTCCGTAGAACGACTGCTGTGTTATTTTCATCTACAGACGTAAATAATAAAAACCTGTTTATTTCCTGATGTCAAGATTAAAATTCTGCTCTTATTTTTTACTCATAAAAGGAGAAACATTTTAGTCACCATACTTAGTCAATGTAGGTATTGTTTTTACGTCATCGCCTCTCTTGAATGACGAAATGAAATTTCTATGACGTACGTAACCGCAAGTGGCAAGTTGTCGTTCGCCGTGGAGGACTTAAACTTAAGGCCTTCGGCTGTTGATGATGATGACGTAACCGCATGAGGTCGTTCTACATAAACTACCCACTTCCGAAAACAATGACGAATGTCGTTATAATCATTATCGCAAATTCGCAACTCGTCATTATTGATTTCGTTTATTACTTATCGTATCAATATAATCAACATTTAAGTCGAAATTCGTAAGCAGACACACCTTAAATTCAATCATCCGCGAAATAGTTTAAGACTTAGCGGTATTTGGGAAATTACAAGTTACTACGAAATGAATGATTGGTCATTTGTAGTTTTTATGTGTTTTTTGTTTGTTATCTAACCGGCTTACTGAGTAATGATAAATGGAAATGCTGTTAGGCTTAATGTACACCTGGAGCTGTCCGTGATTATGATAACGATAGTTAGCCATAAATCACGACGCGACGGAACTCGCGACACATTTACTCCCGACAAAACTCGTTAGATACTCTTATATATTTGGATAAGATAAGTCTGAATTTGAGGACAGTGTAAACTATACAATGTTGTTCAACCTGTAATAGGTATTGTATATTGTAATTTTTGTTATAATTTACAGTGCCGTAACTATAGCAAAGTAAGCCCGTGACAAATTCGTCAAAGTGGAGGCCTAAGAAAAAAAGAGTCTAAATGAAAACGTCTGAACAGGGTTACCATCCAGCTGTGGTCTGTAGCAATTTGCAGACTTGCCACCCTGTAGTACCACCACCGAATATAAGGAATATATTTATATATACCTACATAATAATGTAGGTACGAATGGCGCTATTATTATTTACTGTTGTCCTTCAATTACAAATAAATTATAAACAGGAAAATCTAAAACCACATAATCGTGTACATAACAATATTTATTTGAGCATTGGTTTTGAACATTATGATTTACTTATTCTAGTTTGTGTACAGTCTTACATATTATAGGATTTATGTTCAGGCAGTATCATGTTGGATTACATTGATAAAAAGGCTTAATTGGCTTAATTAATGTCTATGAGACAAGCTAATAGCTCTACATAACAAGTTATATAATGTGTTGAATTCTATCTCATTCTAATTCCAGTAACACTGGCTGATAACACAATCATAATTATTAACAATGGTTTAATAAATTACAAAATAGTTTTTCTATTAAATAAAAAGAATTTCATATTGTTGCAATCCACAATTTTCTGCACAGCTGGAGCGAAATAATTGATTTTATCACTTTCTCGTAGTAAGTTTTTATCATGAATTGTAAAATCAGTCAGTCTAGTGAATTTATCTTATGCAGTTGTTGCCTTTTTGATAACAGTGACTCACATCCATCTTAAATAAAGTTAGATTACAACAGAACGGTGTCAACACAAAATGAGGAAAATATGGTGATGTACTCGTTTGTATGGCACCTAGTTGGTCTGAGGTAATTACTATTGTAGATAATCCTGCTAATTACCAGTCATAAAACTTCATCTAATATTTAATTATTAAAATCGCCAACCATCAATGAACACATTAATGGTACAGACGCTATGAATAAATATCATCTAAACTACTACAAAAATGTAGATATGTATATGATTTTGTTTCTTATTGGTCCGAAACAGTCTTTTGTGATAATAAAGCCATTAAATTTATCCCAAATTAGCACCCTAAAATTTATCAAAAAATGCATTAACTGCTTATAAAAATTGTAAATGTAGGTCACAACCTTACTTTCTAGGCTTACTTTTTTAATTGCTACAGGATATGTTCATTCATTCTGTGGCCTCATTGGTAAAAATCTAACATTTGTGACATTTTAATATTTTAAAAATAATTCATTCTCTTAATATTTACCTTAATAATATGCGGGAATGTTACAATTATGTTCCCATTTTCGAGACATTGTCAGTCCTTGTTTTACACTAATTTACAAATTAGCTAACATGCTACAACAGATCAGCATTTGCTATAAATAAATTTCGAATATAAAATTGTTACAACACTATCAGTGTTCAGTTCCTATACTTGGAAAATATCTAATCACAGGGCCAAGTCAGGCAATAATATGTACACTAAGCTAAAGTGGGCATGCCCATTTTGTCATACTTTTTCGTGGTTGGTCTGCAGATACCATAGCAGATGGAAAAGTAGTATAGTCCCATTCCCGCCAAGATGAGGGCCACAACTACAAATACTATACCCCATGCCGATATGCCTAGGCCTCGTCGAGTAGGGGGCTGTGTAGGGAGTCCAGAAGAAGTACCAACTACTGTTTTAGGGTAGCCATTGTCACTGTTGTAGCCTCTTTCATAAGTGCCATAGTTTGTCTCCCTATTCCGAAATGCTTCCGCAGGAGTCAACAATGCGTTGAAAACTGCAACAACATATAAATAAAAATTAATAACGATGTAATAAAGCGGAGATCACGGCTACAAAAATTACCACAAATTAATGAGATAGATACTGAATGAAATTGGAGGGAACAAATTTTATTACTGTTTGATATGAATTACAAATAAGGTGACTTATTCTAAACATTGTGGTTGACGAACTAATGATGATGATTGAATAATAGTGATTATAACCAGGATTCACACCAGCTAATCTTAAAATAATTCAACATTTATAACAGAAATAAATATCAATTATCCACTTACCGAGTAGTGCAAGGCTTGCACGAACAAATAGACTTATCATCTTTGATATCTCGAACTTCCTGCGACAAGTGCTCCACAAATTACCACTCGAGCTCCCTGCTTTGTCTCGTAAAACAAGTTAAAGTTTGCTGTCGAAACCTCGAATTTCCGCTGTAAATGCACTTCACTTTACAATAATCGACGTGAAAGTGGTTTATTTTAACAGAATGAGTTCGTGTCACTAAACAAAATATTTTAAATTGTCTTCGGTCTATTTACTAGCACACAACATCATTCTGTGAAGCGATGAAAGTTAAAAAATAAACGAAACGACAAAATCGTAATTTGTATCACCGTCGCGATTGGATGAATGAAATTGAATGAATGAATGCATAATGAATGGTTTGCAACGATTGAATGAAATAGAATGAATGAATGACAAGAAAAAACTAAGAACTAGAGATGTACCCCAAAATTCGACTAACTCGGATACTATAGACAAGTGGTACCATAAATTTATGAGTTTCCGGTTAATTCTGATGGCGTGTACTTCCGATTATTGCGTTGTCAAATGTCAAAAATAAAGATGTTGCCGGCGATGGCTAAATTACGAATTTCTTTTGTATTTTTACTTTACATCTTAATAAAATGTGAAAGTGCTAATGTCGACTCAATATCTAGTGATATAAGATTGAAAAATGTCGACCGGCTAGTAGATATATCGTCGCAACTCGTAAAAATTACATCGAAAATAACCTTGGAGAACACTGGTGCTTCGCCGGTAAAGAATTTCCTGATAGCCATTGAAGAATCTGCAAAGAACAATGTTGCATTTGTTGGTGCTAAGGATAGCAACAATAAAGATTTAAAACTTGTCGAGACTACCGTAAAGGGTTATGAGTATGTCAGGTTCTGGCGTGTGGAACTCAAAGATGCTATCAACTCGGGCGCTACACCGTTAGTCACAGTAGAAACAGTTTTCACAAAAGCTCTCTTACCATACCCCACAGCCATTACTCAACAAGAAGACCAACTAGTCAAATACATCGGCAACTTGTACACGTACTCGCCGTATTACATTACTTCTATGAAAACAAGCGTTGTTCTAAACACTAAGAGCGTTGAAACGTTCACTAAGGTGAAACCTTTCACTCAACAAGATGGTATGATTCAGTATGGTCCTTATCCTAACTTGAAACCTTTCAGTGAGAAGGAATTGCTCATCCACTACAAGAACAATGCTCCATTCCTGACTGTCACACGTGTCGAGAGGTTGATTGAGGTGTCTCACTGGGGCAATATTGCTGTGGAGGAGGTCATTGAGATTGAACACACAGGTGCCAAGTTGAAGGGCCCATTCTCCCGTTATGACTACCAACAAGATCACCACAGTGGGCCCGCTAGTGTCAGGTCTTATAAGACTCTGCTGCCTGCTGCTGCCTCAGATGTGTACTACAGAGACACTAATGGTAACATCTCCACTTCCAATATGAAGGTGAAGAAAGACTCCGTCGAGCTGGACTTGAGACCTAGGTATCCTCTGTTTGGTGGATGGAGAACTCACTACACACTTGGCTACAATGTGCCCAGCTATGAGTACTTGTATCAATCTGGCAGTGACTACCTATTGAAGATGAGGATTGTTGATCATATCTTTGATGATATGCAAGTTGACGAGGTGGTCACAAAGATTATCTTGCCTGAAGGTTCAACAAGTGTGAAAGTAAACCTGCCATACCCTGTAACTAGATTGCCGGACAGCCTGCACTTCACCTACCTGGACACGAAAGGCCGTCCTGTGATCTCATTCAGTAAGAAGAATATTGTGGAGAACCACATCCAAGACTTCCAACTACGCTACACATTCCCACGCCTCCTCATGTTGCAGGAGCCTCTACTTGTTGTAGGATTCCTCTTTGCCTTATTCCTGTGTGTAATAGTCTATGTAAGATTAGATTTCTCTATTCATAAGTCTGAACATCCTCATAAAGAATAAATTTACCATAAAATAGCACTTAATATATTTAATTTCTATTACTTATGTTTAAATGAAACACATCTAGTTCTTGTGCAATGTTATGTGCTGATTACAAGTGATTTTTAATTACGATTGTGGTTTTATTGAAATTGAAACCTTCAAACATTTGTTAATTTTGTATTTTATTTGGAATATTTATCTTGATAGTCTATTATCAACTGTATTTTTCAATAAAAGGTTGAGATAAAAACATGAGTTCTAAAATTATTTTATTTTTCATTATCCAAAAACTATTTACAATATCATTCTTGGTAATTTGAGCCTGTTTATCATCCCCATGATAAATCATACAGCTACAGAGATTTCTGTTTACATATAGATACTTTCTCATTTGTAGGAATACTAAAGGATTCCAATTCTAATAAGAATTCAAACAAATTCTAATAAGGATTCGGTAAAATAAAATTACATCTTATCTACACAGACAAATTGAATGGGACCAGAAACATTTTATAGCTTTTACATAAAAGAGGTACCGTAAAATGGGGTGAATAGAAATCGAGAGGTAAATAGGGACAGAAAAGGGGTGAATAGATATTAGGAAATTCTTCATAGTATTGATTCACACTTCTGTCCCTTTTCACCGCTCAAACCCTATTCACCCCATTTTACACTAAAGTTTTTACAACACTTTCCAAGTACAACGCCGCCTGCACTTAGTTTGCAAGATATATCGTCAGTATCTTAACATCGACACCTTTCAAACCTGCGTTTACATTACTGGAAGAATGTCAATATTGTTGATTGATTGTACTACCAAAGAACAAGCGTGTATCGATGTTTTTCATTATATCGATTACGACGAATACCGCATCACAATGCATGTAATGCCCTGACAAGCAAGTCTGTAACTAAACGGTACCACGATTCTATTTCACGCTTAGTGCTGTAAGGAATAACGTTGTTGATCGATAAATTTTGAACTTTATCGTTTTGCAATCAAGTCCTAAATCTGAAAGATAGGTCTTGTCATCTTGTGTGCACATGCTTGTTTACAGTATGTAATTATGTGTAGGTACATAGGTATTTTCGTGTAGGACTTGAATTATATGAGTTTCCAATACCTATTGTAGTATTAGTATTTAGATTATATAAGTGGATAGATAAAATAGCTTCAAATTCATTTTATAGTCCACCAAGTAGGATACAAATATGTAAGATATGTTTTTCACTTAATAATATGGCAATAAGAGATAATGAATAAAATTACTAATGATAACCTCTTCCTTTCTGAGAAGTTGTTTAAAAATATAGTTTTATTGGCGTCAATTCACAGTGTTAATTTTCAAACAAAGTAAAAACAGTACCGAAGAGAGAAAAATTCAATTTCACTTATCATAATAGGTAGTACTATAAACGCAAAGTACTCTTTATACGACTGTTCATGAGTACCTACTTTGTAAACTAATCAACTGCATTGCAATTTGTGAACTATGTAATTACTTTCGACGATAAATTTCATTTAATGTTCTAACTAATCTTTCGATAAAGAACAGATTCTAGAAGGTCAATTAACCTCTTTTACGTCGGTAATTAAGACAATAGTAAGTACGCATTGTGTCTCGCGTAGATCTATGCTCCGATATACCAGAAGTTAACTTCTATTTGTTCAATTTCTCCATGGCTGTTTTGGTCAAAATTAAGATTAAGTGATAAGTGACCTTTATTTAATAGGATATGGTCTAATTTCGGAACATTACTAAACAAACACTTCTTTTTATCCAAACTCGTCTTGAGAGAATATGAACACTTCTGTTCCGATTTTACTCAGAATAATTGCAATGACTTAGAACTTTAAACAATTGCCATAAAGTCGGAAATCTAATAAACAAATTGATGAAACTTGGCCAGCAAGTCTGTACAAAAAAATATTAGCATATTGTTTTATTTCATTTATTTACACTCCATATTCTGACAATTTGAATCTTAGTACGACGGGCGCACTAGTGCATGGTAGGATGGCTAGTTCAGTAACTACAGCGGTGACAAGACTCGGTGGTGTAACATCATAGGTCAGGTTTAATGGCGTCAGGTTAGGGTTCGACCGCCAGTCCTTCAGTGGAGAGTTCTCATCCGATTTGTCGATTAAGTCGTCTGGGTCACCTGTTTGAAAAGGAAAAATCTTAATAAGTGAAGACTGGAAATTCAAGTTCTTCAAAACTAAAAACAACAAAAATTACCAACTAATAATATTTGATACTTTTCGAAAGGTTTCCCTTATACATTAAAATTTAATATTTTTACAGTTGCAATATTTATAATAAACTATACCTGGCGTTAATCACATTTACCTAATATCTGCATGTTAGCTTATTCTTTTTAAAATTCAAATAATTTTTATAGTGTCAAGCAGATGTATGACCATCATGTAGGTGGTAAGCGATCAGCACCACCCATGGAGACCCGAAACATTTATATTTTAAAATATGTTTTACAAAATATTTAAAAAAAATTGACATAGGTACTTACCAATTTCATTATAGACGAAGGCATCAGTCTGTACTCGCTCGGAGAACTTGTGCGTCTCACAGGCGACGAGTACGGGCACGTTGTAGGCCTGCGCCCCCAGCGCCACCTGCGCCGTGCCCGCCGCGCCCAGGACGGAGCCATTCACGAGGAGGGCACTCGCGCCTAGTACTACTTTGTTTACCTGGATAAATAGATGGATGTAATATTTAGTATTTGTTACATTCACAAAAAATATTGATAAAAGAGTGTTTTGAAAGTGGACTGTGGAATAACAATAGGTCTTGCCAGAGCACCTAATGTACGTTTTTGATAACATTTTTATCGCACCTAATGTTTAATTTTTTATTGGAATAGTAGGCAAACGAGCAGACGGATCACCTGATAGTAAGCAATCAGCGCCGCCCATGGACACCCGCAACACCAGAGGAGTCACAGGTGAGTTACCGGCCGCTTTAAAGGTCGTCAAAATCAAAATGCAAAAGCTTTGCATACATACATGTATAGGAGGACTTCGGAGAAGGGATAATGGAAGCTACAGTTTATTTTGTATGGCGCTAACGTATCGTCAGGGTGCGTACTCTTGAAACCAATTTCAATTCAATAAAATCTCAATAATGATTCAATGTCAAAAATATACAACCTCTACCGTAGCTGAAGCTGTTGAAATAGTATTCAAAAGTAAGCCCCCAGGTCATATTTTTTGTCCAATTACTGTACTTAAATTGAAATGTTCAATGACTGCATATTAATCAATATGTAGTGAATTGGACTACAGACATTTCGCTATAATACTAGTGATCCTGGCGCTAAGTTCATCAGTAGCTCTCAATTATGCGGGAAAAGCTAGTATCAACATGGAAAAGCTAGTATCAACATATTTTACATAACCTTACCTTATCCATAACAGAAGAAAGCGATGTAATATCAATATAGGTGCATGGCAGGCCATGGGCGACCAGTCGCCGCAACATGTCGGTGGCGGCGGGGTGGACGCGGTTGCCGACGACGACGGTGCGGAACTTGAGGCCGGCCGACCACGCGTCGCGGAGGATGCGCTCGATTAGTGATGAACTGGGGATTTCAATTGAAATGTTAACATAACATAACATCACGCTTTTTATACCCAAAGGGGTAGGCAGAGGTGTACCTACTTTACGGCAATAGGCGTGTCGACAGGGTAAAAAAATCAAAAAAGTAATTAGTCCGTCATTAAGATCGCACGAAAATATCAGACACGTATTTTTTGTTTTATCAAATTAACAGAAGAATACGTAGTTATTCCGCATTAAAGTTAGGGAGTGGGGGGTGTTGACGTCACACTTACGGAGAAATCGTACCTAAGTGTGACGTCACGCGTCATTTTAACTCAAAATATCTACATGTTTTTTTGGATACGAGAAAAAAGAAAAAATACGTATCGAAGATTTTTAAAATATCTAAAAGACGGACAAAAAATTAAAAAATAGTCGCCATGCCTATTAATGCCACTGTTAAATGTAACACCCACTTCACTATTTGTGTTATGAATCCCTTATAATAGAGGGCGAGATTATTGGCATATACCGGGCACAATTCCAGACTCCGTGGGAAATATTTGAAAAAACCCAGTAATACTTTGCCCGAACCCAAGATCCCATGCCCAGCAGTCACACTTGCGACCACTCCGCCAACGAGTCTGTCAGTGAGTCAGTCAGTATTTATTAATATATATATTTATTTATTTTAACTTTATACAACAAGTGTGTACAGGTGGACTTAATGCCTTGGGCATTGTCTCCCAGTCAACCTTTAAGCAGTGCAGAGATGAAAGTAGCAGTTTAAGTGAGGGAGAGCCATGCTTCGGCACGAATGGGCCGGCTCGACCGGAATGATACCACGGCCTCACAGAAAACCGACGTGAAGCAACGCTTGTGTTGTGTTTCGTCGTGTGAGTGAGGTTACCGGAGGCCCAATTACCGTCCCCTTCCCCAATCTCCCCAATTCCTGAATCCCCAAAAGACCGGTAACGCACTTGTAACGCCTCTGGTGTTCCAGGTGTCCATGGGCGACGCCGATTGCTTACCATCAGGTGATCCGTCTGCTCGTTTACCGGCTTATGCCATAAAAAAAAGAATACAACAAATGACTTACCATCCATAAGTGAGTATGTTGTCTCCGTCAGCTATTTTGTTGCGCACTGTTATACTAATAGCTTCGCCCGCCATGTCTATTTGTTCCTTTATGTATCGGTCTATCTCTTCCTGCAGTGTCTTCTTTGCCTGTGTGAGAAAAACATTCATCTTACTAACATTATATTGCGAACGTTGTATATTTGTGTATATGCTTATTACTCATTACGTCAAAACGGGTGAAATTTGAAACATAATATAGGCTATGTTTTTATAATAGGTAACTATCGTGAGACATACTAAATTAACTAAAAATCGCGCTTACTCACGTGAATATACTGAGAAAAACTTTACTAGTTTCGAACCACAGAAGGGAGTAGGCTGCGCGACATTTTTTTTTCTCTTCTCACGGACATTCATAATTAATAATATATGCTGCTTTTTGTCCTACGGGAACGCGAGCGAAGCCGCAGAAACTAGTTAATTTATAAT